GTGCCCAACACCAGCTCTATTTCCTTTTGAAAGAGATACAGATTCTTTGAAGAATCTGTATTTATTTCCATTGTATCTCTGTGTCCAGGACTAGGAGAAGGGCCTCTATCTGTGCAAGGCTGATTGGTAAGGTGACAGGCACCAGTTTCTTGGCTTCTGCTGCAGGGTGAGTCTTTAAAGATGAAGATGGCCTAAAGATGAGTCTGAAAGCCAGAGGATAACCCCAGCTTTCAGCAGTGATGGGTGATCTACAGGCTATAAAGAAGTAGCCCTGTGGCCCAGGAATAGACTCAGCTTCCAGATCCAGTGAATGCACAGAGACTTCTAGAAAAGTCTAACCCTGGGAAAGCCCTAAGGTCAGCGTTATGGTTAGCAAGAAATCTACATCATTTGATGAGTGTGAAGAGAAGAGAGCTATTCCCATGGAGACAGTTTGAGAGGCATAGCTGTGGGATCTAAGAAACAGCTGGGAGTTGAGTATTCAATGTCCACAGAAGAAGATGTGGCTGAGACTTAGAAGTGGGGAGAAGAGGGAAGGACAGGGTGGCTGGTCTTCATGGCACAGGAAGGAAAGCAGAACTTCCATTCATCACTTTGGGGGTGAGATTAGTTGAGGGCAAATTGTAAAGCATGTAACCCATCCATAGAATGGAATCTGGGGGAAGTTGATCACCTAATGGAAATGTTTAATGGTTTCAGCATTGTAAAAATAATAGGAAACAGGGCCGGGCGCAGTGGCTCAAGCCTGTAATCCCAGCACTTTGGGAGGCCGAGGCGGGTGGATCACGAGGTCAACAGATCGAGACCATCCTGGTCAACATGGTGAAACCCCATCTCTACTAAAAATACAAAAAATTAGCTGGGCATGGTGGCGCGTGCCTGTAATCCCAGCTACTCAGGAGGCTGAGGCAGGAGAATTGCCTGAACCCAGGGGGCGGAGGTTGCGGTGAGCCGAGATCGCGCCATTGCACTCCAGCCTGGGTAACAAGAGCGAAACTCCGTCTCAAAAAATAATAATAATAATAATAGGAAACAATAAAAAGGAGAAAACCAAAATTGGGACTTTCAGGCATACTTGAGATTCCATGTGTTCTTGGAAGGAATCCAGGTGGGTCTGGATTCTTTATGGTGCCATGGAAGACAGGTGGCAAAGTAACCAAGAGATTGCCACAACTAGGCGTGGACCACCCATTCTGAAAGTGGGCCTGGAAGTACAGGGTGGGTCAAAAGGAGCAAATCACTGGAGATGAACTAAGGGAAGAAAACATGCCATGAGTTCACGAGTCTTAAACCTCAGCATCGGATGCCAACAAGACGGCTAAGGAGAGAGACTGGAAAGACCAGAAAAGCAAGAGGACTTCTCTAAGACCTTGTGGATATGTGTTCAGGGATCTTTTTTACCAATCATACAACTGTAGCTCATCTAATCCTCCTCAGAGGGCATCCAAAGGGAGTGAAGAAGGAAATCTGAACGATGGGGCATATATCCAAAGAAGGTGGAACCAGAGAAGAGGTTATTTAAATTTGAAAAGATTGAGATAAACTAACTGGCAAGTTCAAAAGTTGTTTCCATAGTTCCCAGAGGCGAGTAGAGTGTCAGAGCAAGAATAGATCAGTTTCAGAGGAGAAAGTGCATTCATCTGAGTCAGATCATCAGTGTTCAATTTCAGAACATATGTTGCCTTTACGAGATATTCAACACTGCAAGAACTGGGACTTCGTTTTCCTCACATCACAGGCACATATCAGGCATTCAACATTTGCTGAATACATAAAATGAATGAATAAATAAATGACTCATTCTAGAATAGCAAAGCTTAGGTTTTAATTATTATGAGTATGCTACCTCACTGATTTTCCTAAGATTTAAAAACATGCTCTGGAAATAAAAATTTTTTGCTTTACACAACATATCTGGAATAATTTAAACTAAGAGACTCTTTGGCAGGGAGAATCAGGATATCCTGATAGCTCTTTGCTATTCCTCAAGTCACAGAAGTCAGAAAAGTCCAGTCGAAGCCTTATGTAAATAAAAGGTCTTTGCAAAGACTGCTTAAGTAGAGTTTCCCAAGGACACTTGGGAAGGTTGCCTCTTTCCCAATACAACATTGTAGCTCTTCTCTCTCCATCTTCCATCAACCATGGGGCAAAAGAAAGATCATCTGTCTCCTTTGATATTCTAAAGAGGTTGATGTCTGACTGGAAGTTCTTCTCTGCCCAAACATCAAAATTCTAAACATATTTTTCAATTTTCCCACATATAGCCTGATTTACAGGAAAGCTGAAATATGTTCCAGATCTGGAGACATACTTGATTAATGAAGGTATAATGAGCATTGTTGGCTGCCATCCATTCTCACCTTTCTCCTTCAGAATAGGACCCAGATTTTATTCAGTATCTCACTCTCCCTCGTGTAACTCAAGTGCCCCTAAAGCAAGCTGGCCCATGCCCCTAGCTCCCAGGATAGACCTGATGGTCTAAGGCAGTAGTTCTCAGATTGGGAGTTGATTTTGCTCTTCACAGATATTTGGTAATGCCTAAAATGTGACATTTTTTAGTGTCACAGTGTGGGGGGAGGCATCTAGTGAGCAGAGGCCAGAAATGCTGCTAAACATCCTACCATGCACAGGTCAAGCCACAACAAAGAATTGTCCAACCCAAAAAGAGAATAGTCCTGAGGTAGAAAACCCTGGTTAAAGGGTTATGGTATCCCACTTACAAGTGAGTGATTTAAGAAGAAGACTTTTCAGTTAGGAAAACAATCTGCAAAATGGCTGCCAAGAGACACCAGACATTTACAACCTCACCCACCCACCTCAGCAAGAAAAGACCAAGGCAATAACTACAGAGCTAAGATTTGAATGGAGTGTCGAAGGGAAAGTGCTAGAATGCAGTGGGGAAGCAGAGGTGCAGCTGTGATGATTAGAAGTCTAGGTGGGCAGCCTGGAGGCACCTGGACTCTGCAGCATTGTTTCCTCCACATGGATCACATCTGCCTGGAGTCAGAAGGGACTCCACATTGTAGGGAAAGGTCAAGCAGAAGAGCCGCACCTGCCCCCATTGCTGCCACAAACATCTACAAGTCCTTTCATCAGAAGAATCTCACAATCTTTTTAAGACCTGAATCCAGTTTGGAAAGCTGGTGGGAATTCACACAGCTGCACTGCCCCAGATTAGTAGAATAAGGTGCACTATCTAACCACCTCCCACCTGCTGTGTGCCAAGCTGCTATAACACAGCACCATCTTGAGACTAGAGCCTGCTCTGAAGTGGTCCCTGCTCTGGGGGCCAGTAGCCACTGCAGCACTGGGGCTCCATCCTCATTCCACCATGCCCGCATAGGTGGCTGAATGTCATACCCTAGATGTACAGAGCATGATCCTAGGATTAGCTGTGACTCTTGTCCCGTGCAACAGGGAAACCAACTCCCCTTAACCTCACCAAACTTCCAGCTGGAGGAACAATTGGCCGGTACCATCCAGGGCAAATCTACCCTTGAGGTGGCCAAATCACTGCCAATTATCCTTCCCCAAGCAGGATAGGACATAGAGCCTCCAAAACTCCAAAATATCCTTGGGCCAGTGGGATGTCTATATACATGTACGCAAAACCTGGCAAAGCTGCTCTGCCATCACCACAGACTCTCTCATTGCAGGCCACTGAGAAACACGAACACCACTAGTGTGGATTACAACTGAGTAAATTACATAGACTACACTACTGAATCAACCTCGAACCAAGGCCAATACACCCACCAAACACTCTAAGACCCATTCATCTGAACAAAACTTTTCATACAAAACCTACTCTGTAAAATACAAAGAGGCTACTTTTCCTTAAGATGCATAGAAATCAACATAAGGGCACATCAACAATGAAAAAGCAAGGAAACATGTCACCACCAAAGGAAAATAATAATTCTCCAGTAACAAGCCCCAATCATAAGGACATGTATGAAATGCCAGAAAATAATTCAATATACGCTATGAAAGAAACAGAGGTGATGAAATAAAAAATAATGTCAAGGATGTATTTTGGATGGGATTTTTATGGAAGGCCTCTGTATATAAAAGTAATATTGAAGCTGAAACCTAAAGATGATAAGGAGATAAGCATGTCAAGAAAATTCCAGACAGAGGGGCTAGACTGTGCAAAGGTTCTGAATAGGAGTGAACTTAGCATGTTTAAGAAGCTGGAATATTAGGGCGGATGGAGTATAGTGAGCAAGGAGCACAGAGACACAACACAAAGTTGGACAGAACCAGATTGTGTAGGTCAGAATAAAAAGTACAGATTTATCCTGAGAGCGGTGAGGAGCCACTGCAGGATCTCAAATAGGAGCCCCACTGCTGCTGGCAGTACCGCTTGGGACAGGCCCCATCCCAGCCCCCAGCAATGGGAGCACACCCCAGGAAAGGGCCCCCAACCCTCTCCCCTACGCAGGCTGTGGCGCCTCAAATAACCCCCCCCCACCAGCCCCCGCAACACCAGCAGTGACACCCTGGAGAGTGCCCACTGCCCATGGCAGGTCACTCCCAAGTCGTCCCATGCCTAAGGCTGTGCGGGCCAAGACGGTGAACCTATCCCGCCATCTTACATTTCTAGCTGCGCTGTAGTCTCCATCAGTGCCAACAACCACAACAGCAAGGCGAGGCAAGCAGATCCAATCCGGCAGACTCTAGCCTCCAACATGGGCGGTGGCCGGCTACTCCCACTTCTCCACGAAGCCAGCTATGAGCACGTGGGCCCACGTCTGAAATGATGAAACTCCCGCTTGCCATCCTTTATATACGGTGGGGGGGGGGGGGGTGGGAGGGGGTTCCTAGACTACATGTTCGGATTGGATGAGAGCAAACTTCAAGGTGTACTCTAATTGGGCTTTATTTCTATGGTCTGATTGGCTAACCTAAAACTTGTTCTCTCATCCAACCCGAAGCTATTCTAGCCAGGCTGAGCTGCAGCCCCTTTAAGACGGTGTGGTGCTTCAGCCTTGAGGCGAATGCCTGTCAGCGTGCCTGCTCCTACGGAAGCCCACACGGCCAGGCCAGAGAGAAGGCAGCGGCGGAGACGGCGACGGCGGCCGGCCCCAGCCAGCTTGGCCCAGCCACAGGGAAGTCAGTGGCAGCGATGGCAGCCCCAGCCCGGCCGGAGGGAAGTCGGTGTAGTCGGTGGAGGCCCCTGCTGGATCCGGCCGGAGGGAAGTCCGCATAGGCGGCGGCAGCGGCGCGGTCAGAGCGAATTTCTTTGGAGAAGCCGTGGCAGCTTCAACATGACTGTGGAGGACGAGACAGGTCTCTGCGGTAAGTGGCGGGGACTTGTACCCCATCGGGAATCCTCCAGACCTCCCTGCTCCTTCTCCGCGGCTCCCTGCTTTGTCTGGGATGGGTTGGTGACATTATGGGGTGCAACACTGCCAGTGGCGAGGGATGGGTTCGGGGTGCTGTCAGGTGTTACGTTGCCCCAGTTGGGGGGGGTGTGTGAGATCCACGACATCATTGTCTGTGTCTGGGAGCTGGTTGGGGGCACTATCCAAGGCTGCATCGCCCACATGGGGAGTGGGTTGGGGGCACTGTCTGGGGCTGCAGTGCTGGCGGTGGAAGATGGTTTAGGGGGTGCTACACTGCTGGTGGGGGGGAGCGGTGGTGTTAAAGGCATCATGGGGACTACACTGAGACAGAGGTTGGGGGGCTTGTTGGGAGAGCTACACAGGGTTGGACTGCCTGTGGAGTGGGCTAGAGGGTTGGTGGGGGACTCTTGGGGCTGGATACACAGCCTGAGTGGTGGGGAGGCGGCGGGTAGGTCAGGTGCTCTCAGGGATCTGCGCTGCCTGGTAAAGAGCGGGTGAGTGTGCTATTCCAGGCTGCGTGGGTTGTGGCAGGGGCAGGTTGGGTGCACTATCAGGCTACTCAAGCTAGCCATGGGGGTACTTCCCAAGGTGGAGAGGGAGTTTGGAGTGCTATCGGTGGCTGCAGTGCCCGAGGCAGGGAGTTGGTTGGGGGTGCTATCCAGGGCCGCACTGTTCCCTACGGGGAGTGAGTTAGGGCACTCACTTTTCAGGATTGCAGCGCCCGCAGTGGGGGGTGGTTTGGGTGCCATATGGGGGCATCACTACCTGTGGTGGGGGTCTGCTTGGGGATGCTATCTGTGGCTACACTGCCCACCCCGGGGAGCCAGTTGGGGTGCTATCCCAGGCTGTGCTGCCCATGGTAGCAGGGTGGTTTGCGGGTGCCATTGAGTGCTGCAGTGTCTAAGGCAGGGGCAGGTTAGGGGCTGCCATGACGTGCTACACTGCTGGTGGTGGGGGATGGGGTGTTGGCGCTATCCTGGGGCTACACTGCCGGTGGTAGCGGGTTAGGGGCTCTGTCGGAAGCTGCACTGCCGGTGGCAGGTGATGGAGGTTTCAGTGACTGCTGTGGTCTCTGAGAGAGGAGTGGTCCTCCTCTCCCTGGACTCTAAACTCTAAAGGGCCATCTCCTACTGCGTGGCGGGCACACATTTCTGTAGTAGGCACCGTGGGGTGACAGGGCTCTGTGGGTGGAGGTCTCAGGAATGGGAACCAGCACAAAGGTGGGGAGGGCTGGCTGGGGCCTAGTTTCTGTTCCTCCTTCTTCCCGAACACAGCCTGGGTGGTCCCAGTTGTTCCTATGGAGCGGGAAGCCCAGGCACCATGGTATCTCCAGTCTCTAATCCCTAGCCAGTTTGGGCCAAAAAGAGATGCTGTGGCCTTTGGAGGGTGGGTGTGAGTGCCTTCACTGAAATTGGCCCATGCCGCCCAGTGGCCAGCATGACAAGGTGGGGGTCTAATGCTACCATTCTCTTGTGTCCCATTCTGGGCTTTTCTGGCTTTGCCTGCCCAGCTGCTCCCATTCTAGGCTTTTCTGGCTTTGCCAGCCCAGCTGCTCCATGCCACAAGAAGGAAGAGCTATCTGCTGCATGCTGGAGGCTGGAGCCTGTGGCACCACAGCTCGCCTCGCTGCAGTGGGTGACAGCGATGGAGACTGCAGAGCGCTGGAGAGGTAGGAGCATGGCTGGCTGCCACCAGGGCAGGGACGGGTGCAGAGGTGGCCAGGTGGCAGCCTCTGAGGTGGCCTTGGTCCCTGGGTCTCCCCCCTGCTGTTTATGGCAGGCAGAGCTGGGGTTGCCACTGCTTCTGATGTACCGTGTGCAGGTGGCAGCTACAGTTGAGCTGTAGGGTGGCAGTGCTGGTTCCCATTCTTCTGTTCCTTTTTGTCCCTGGTCCAGGGCACTGGTCGCAGGTGCTGGTTACCCTACAGCCACTGGGATGGGGCTGGATGCCAGTTCCAGTCCTCTTCCTTCTGCGGAGCCTGATTTAGGCGCCGCAGCAGGGTCTGGCCCTTAGGTCCGCGTTACTGGAGGAAGCAGGCAGATCAGGGGTTGCCACCATGCTACCAAATGCCATCTATAAGTGGCAGGTGCAGCAGAATGCACGGGAGGCTGCAGGACTGGTCTCAGACAGCCTGGGAGTCGCCCAGGGCACCTCCCCCTGCCCTAAGATCCATGCTTCCTTGGCCCAAGCCCAGAGTGTGGAGTCATGGGCTCTGGGCCCACTGCAGCACCCAGGATGAGTCTGAGCGCCGGTTTCCATCACCTTGTAGCTGCGCTGCCAGCCACCTAAATTAGGCACCATGGTCACATCTGGCCCTGGGATTCCTGCTGCTGGTGGGGGAGGACAGGGCCAGGGGTTGCCACTGATGCTGACTTGCACCATTTCCAGGTTGCAGCTGTGGCTGAGCCCATGGCAGATTCTTGCGGGGCCGCTCCCCGAGGGCATGGGGGTCGGGAAGTGTACCGCCATCCTACCCTAGGGTTCACTTTTCCTGAGGCCTGGCCCAGAGCACAGGTTTGCAGGCGCTGGGCACTGTGCAGCCACAGAGTTGTTACTGAGTGCCTCCTGCCCTCCCGCACCTGCGGGCTGACTGTGGCAGTATCTGGTCCTGGGTTCCATGCTACTGGGGTCAGTGTCCAGGGATGCCACCGCTGCTGCTCCATGCCATGTGTAGGCTGCTGTGGCGGCTGATCCCAGAGCAGAGGCTGTCAGAGCTGGTCCCAGATAGCCTGAAGGTCGCCTAGTGCACCAGCCAAAGGGTCCGTTCTTTCTTGGCCCACACCCAGAGTGAGGATTGCAGGCTCTGGGCACTGCACCACTGGGCATGGGGAGACAAGTGGTGGGGGTCTCCCTTACCTGCTCCACATAAAGCCCATGTTGTCAGGAGTCAGCTCTCTCTCCAGCATGCCTCATTCTCATCCTTGGTAAGTCCAGAGCACAGAGGCCCACTCAGACCTGGCTCCATATCTTGTGCCAGGCAGGCACAGAGGCACAGAGCCTCAGCAGCTTTGTCTGTGGCTGGGCTAAACTGGTGCCCGCCTCATCTTGACCATCTGTCCAAGTGGGCACAGCCTCCAGCATTGCTTCCCAGGCAGCACATCTGTTGCCTGTGGGGCACTTACTGCTTGGCCTCCCAAAGTCCTGGGATTACAGGCGTGAGCCTCTGCGCCCAGCCTGTGGGAACTGTTTTAAATGTCGGCTGAGAAGAGGAAACATTGAAAAGTGGCAGGGAAACAGCATTTCCTGACCGCACATACCACACCAGGCATGTATCAAAAGCTCCGCTAGGAAAACATATTCAGAGAGATCTGGTAACTTGCCTCAGGTCACACAGCAAGTGAGACGCAGAGTGGTAGGCAAACCCAGGCTTCTGGGCTAGTTTCTCCCCCTGTCACATGGCCCTGGGCCACCTCTCAGGAACAGCAGAAACCCACCCAGGAAGACAAACCTCGAGGGCTGACAAGTTTGGAAAGTTGGAAAATCTCTCGTGCAAGGCTGAGACCTTTGACGCCCCTGTGGGAGTGGACTAGGGGAACTGGGCCATGCATGTGAACACCAGGCTGATGACATTTACCAGCTGCCTCCTAATGAAACCCACCCCAGGGCCTTTTCCCCAGCTACCTGCTCACCACAATCACCCCAGGGCCTTTGCCCCAGCTGCCTCCTCACAACACCCACCCCAGAGCCTTTGCCTCTGCTGCTTCCTCACTGCACCCACCCCAGGACCTTTGCCCCAGCTGCCTCCTCACAACACCCACCCCAGGGCCTTTGCCCCTGCTGCCTCCTCACCACATCCACCCCAGGGCCTTTGCCTCTGCTGCCTCCTCACCACACCCACCCCAGGGCCTTTGCCTCTGCTGCCTCCTCACCACACCCACCCCAGGGCCTTTGCCCCTGCTGCCTCCTCACCACACCCACCCCAAGGCCTTTGCCCCTGCTGCCTCCTCACCACACTCACCCCAGGGCCTTTGCCCCTGCTGCCTCCTCACCACACCCACTCCAGGGCCTTTGCCCCTGCTGCCTCCTCACCACACTCACCCCAGGGCCTTTGCCCCTGCTGCCTCCTCACCACACCCACTCCAGGGCCTTTGCCCCTGCTGCCTCCTCACCACACTCACCCCAATCAAATGGTATTTCTGGTTTTAGATCCTTGATGAACTGTCACACTGTCTTCCATAATGGTTGAACTAAAGTAATCTTTTTCTTAAGCTGCTTATTGGTGATATGTACTCTCAAAGCAGAAACAGCCAAGTATGTTATTTTCACAGATGGCAGACTACACAAGTGTGTTTCCAAAATCTCTGGTTACTTGGGTTTCTAACCCTTCCCCTCAACTATGTAGATATTAGTCTAGTGTTTCCCTGAATTTTCTATCACAGAGGAAAAGCCAGGGTCAGCCTGATTTTCATTCATTTCTAAGTACTTTTCTCAGATCCCGGAATGGTTTAAAGTTTTCCAGCATTTCAATACATATTCTGCCAGGATATGTCTATGTTAGGATTTCTTTTTATGGAACACGATTTTTTTAAAGGTCAAGAAAAAATGTTCTCTTTGTTGTTTTTTTCATTAGTTTGTTGTTCTACTCTATTCTGAAAATTTTATTGTATTAATCTTGGAGTTTTAAAATTGGGTTTCACGGAGCTCTCGTCGTCATCACTTTCATTCTGTTACCCTTTTCCTCTACATTCTTGGAGGACTTCTCCAATGTATTCTTAATATCACTGATTTGATTTTCTTTTCTTTGCGGTATCAGTCTTGCTGATGAATAGCTTCATGTGGATATTTAAATGCTCTTTGATTCCTTGCAAATCTCTATGTTTTTTTAATTGTACTTTAGGTTCTGGGTTACATTTGCAGATCATGCAGGATTGTTGCATAGGTACATACATGGGAATGTGGTTTGCTGCCTCCATCCCCCTGTCACCCACATCTGGCATTTCTCCCCATGTTATCCCTCCCCAACCTCCCCATCCTCCCCTGCTGTCCCTCCCTTTGCCCCCACAACAGACCCCAGTGTGTGATGTTCCCCTCCCTATGTCCATGTGTTCTCATTGTTCAGCACCTCCCTATGAGTGAGAACATGTGGTGTTTGATTTTCTGGTCTTGTGTCAGTTTGCTGAGAATGCTGGTTTTCCAGATTCATCCACGTCCCTACAGATGACATGAACTCATCATTTCCTATGGCTGCATAGTATTCCATGGTGCATATGTGCCACATTTTCCTTGTCCAGTCTTTCGTCGATGGGCATTTGGTTTGGTTCCAGGTATTTGCTATTGTAAACAGCGCTGTTATGAACATTTGTGTGCATGTGTCCTTATAATAGAATGATTTATAATCCTCTGCGTGTATTACTCAGTAATGGGATTGCTGGGTCAAATGGAATTTCTATTTCTAGGTCCTTGAGGAAGTGACACACTGTCTTCCACAATGGTTGACCTAGTTTACACTCCCACCAGCAGTGTTAAAGTGTTCCTATTTCTCCACATCCTCTCCAGTATCTGTTGTCTCCAGATTTTTTTAATGATTGCCATTCTGACTGGCTTGAGATGATATCTCAATGTGGTTTTGATTTGCATTTCTCTAATAATCAGTGATGATGAGCATTTTTTCATATGTTTGTTGGTCTCATATATGCCTTCTTTTGAAAAGTGTCTGTCCATATCTTTCTCCCACTTTTGGATGGGTTTGTATGCTTTTACTTGTATATCTGTTTTAGTTCTTTGTAGATTCTGGATATTAACCCTTTGTCAGATGGGTAGATTGCAAAATTTTTTCCCATTCTGTTGGTTTCTGGTTCACTCTGTTGATTGTTTCTTTTGCTGCACAGAAGCTCTGGAGTTTAATTAGGTCCCAGTTGTCTATTTTGGCTTTTGTTGCCAATGATTTTGGTGTTTTAGTCATGAAGTCCTTGCCTATGTTACATATATTCCTTTTCATCTCCTTCCATTTCTTTTTTTTTTTTTTTCTTTTTTTTTTCTTTTTCGTGAGACAGAGCCTTGCTCTGTTGCGTAGGCTGGCGTGCAGTGGAACTATCTCAGCTCACTGCAAGCTTTGCCTCCTGGATTCAAGCACTTTTCTGTCTTTGCTTCCTGAGTAGCTGGAATTACAGGTGCCCACCACCACTCCTAGCTATTTTTTGTATTTGGGAAGTAATTGGGTCCCGAGAGCAGGAACCTACATCACAGGGCTGTTTCCTAAATGCCAGGGCCAGTTTAATTCTCACAAGCTCTCATTTTGCAGAGGAGGAATTCCCACCTGAAGGTCCCACCACCAGGATGTGGAAAAGCTGAAACCTGAGCTCAGGTCATGCCAACTAAATCCAGGTTTCCATCACCCCATGACGCAGCTTTCAAGCCCCTTCCCCCTGGAATGATGACATAGCGGTGGGCTTGGCCATGCACTGCCTGACCCTGGCCGGCAGTGAACCGAGGAGATCACCCAGCTGGGACCCAGGGAGGAGGCAAAGAGGAGACCCCTCAGCAGGGTCTGTTTCTCCTGCCTGGGCTTGTCCTGCACCCAGGGCCAATGTGGTCCTAGGGGGTATCCAGAACCCTCCCTTCCTCTTCCAGGTGTTCCCAGAGCTTCAGAAAAGTCCGTGCTTAAATAAAGATTCAATGAAATCATTTTCAAAAAGGATACATACATACATGCATACATACATACAGAAGCAGGAGTGTACAAGCCTGGGCAACATAGCAAGACCCCACCTCTACCAAAAAACAAATTAGCCAGGCATGGGGATGCATGCTTGTTGTCCCAGCTACTCAGGAGGCTGAGTCAGGAGGATCGCTTGAGCCTAGGAGTTCAAGGCTGCAGTGATCTGTGATTGTGCCGTTGCACTCCAGCCTGGGTGACAGAGCAAGATTGTGCCTCTAAAAATAACAAATTTTTAAAAGGAAGTATGACTGTGTGTCTCTGTGTCAGAGCATGCAAATTTGACAGGTGTGTGTGTATGAGAGAGAAAAGACCACACACACACGCGATGGAAAGAATGAGGACAGTTGAAGGAGAGACACACATACACCCTCAGCCAGAGTGACACTGAGAGGCCTGGCCCACTGGCTGGGGGGCGCTCAGTTGTTTGAAGTGGCTTGGGTTGAACCAAATAAACAAGTGTCACAGCTCTAGAACTGGCACACCCAGCACCCCATTGAATTTTCAGTTTTGTTTTGTTTTGTTTTTAACAAAAACAGGGTCTCACTGTTCCCAGGCTAGTCTCAAACTCCTGGGCTCAAGTGATCTAATCACCTTGGCCTCCCAAAGCGCTGGGATTACAAGCATGAGCCACCATGTTTCACCTACTGAATTTTCAGAAAAGCGCCATGAGGTCGCTTTTCTAATCCATGTTACATCTGTTGGGGCTAAGGCTCGGGAGGGAAAGCCTGCTGCTCAGGGTTACTTGTGACACTTGACGAGTCGCCTGTGAGCCAATTCATTCTAAGCCCAAGCCCTTCTCCCATGCACCAGCATGTCCAGGTCCCTCAGCAGCAAGGACACAACATGGGGCCCCCTCAACTGGGGGTCTCTTCAGGCCTCTTCACGCCCCACAAGTGGCATGTTCATACATTGGCTCTTTCCTTTGTGTGCATTCATTCATTTGTGTGCATTCATTCATTCATTCTTTGGTGTGTGCATTCATTCACTCATTTCTTGGTTTGGGCATTCATTCACTCATTCCTTTGTATGTGCAGTCATTCATTGCCCCCTTCCTCCCTTGCTCCCTCACTTCCTTCCTGCCTGCCTCCCTCCTTCCCTTTGGTGCCTCCATTCCTCCCTCCTTCCTTCCCTCCCTCCCTCCCTCCCTCCCTTTCTTCCTCACACACTTTTGACCCCTCAGGGCTATGCTCATTCCATGTGCTTATTGGCTCCCATCTAGGTCATACTGGGTCAGAACAGAGAGGACACTTCTGCCGGGCCATTGGCTGGGACCTAGTCCAAGGCAGTGAGCTGTAAGTGGGAAAGGACCACCATGCAAGAGCTCAGCAGGACATGGAGGCCTGTCAAGGCTGGGGGGTGGGAGGAACACATCCTGGGTACCTTCCCCAGCCTCCCCTCCCGACCCCTACTCATTCACTCAACACCTATCAGGGGCTTCTCAGGGCCTGGCCCCGCCTGCCCTCCTCCAGCTCACAGGGCCAGGGTGCCCAGAGAGAATTACAGGACCAGTCTGGGTGCGGTGGTTCATGCCTATAATCCCAGTACCTTGGGAGGCCATGGCGGGTGAATCACTTGAGGTCAGGAGTTTGAGACCAGCCTGGCCAACATGGTAAAAACCCATCTCTATTAAAAATACCAAAAATTAGCTTGGCCCACGTGGTGGTGCATACCTGTATCCCAGCTACTAGGGAGGCTGAGGCAGGAGAATGACTTGAACCTGGGAGTTGGAGCTTGCAGTGAGCTGAGATCATGCCACTGCATTCCAGCCTGAGTGAAAGAGCAAGACTCCAACTTAAAAAAAAAAAAAGAGAGGCTGGGTGAGGTGACTCATGCCTGTAATCCCAGCACTTTGGGAGGCTGAGGCAGGCAGATCATGAGGTGAGCTGCATGAGTCTTTGCATGAGTTCCCTGTTTTATGATTCTGTGTAAAGTCTCTGAGGCCTTTGTCAGGTGTGAGGCCTCTGTGTGAGAACCAAGGAAGGTCTCTGAAATTTGCAGGAGGTCTCTGTGGGACTGAATGAAGTCTCTCAGTGTGGTCTCTGTGGGGTTCTCTGAAAGGGTCTGTGTGAGGACTCTGGAAATATCAGTGCTGTGTCTCTGTGGGACACCATGAGGTCTCTGAGAGCTCTGTGGGGTCTCTGGAGGCCACAGTGTGTCTCTCTCTGTGGCAGTGAGTGGTCCCGGTGGGCTCTCTGTATGAGATATCT